TTTTGATTTATATCATACACACTCAATAACATCTTTATCTCTATATATATAATATAAAATTAATTCTATGAGCATTTATGAAATAGAATTCTTTTCAATGTTAATGTCACTCTTGTCATTACAGGTAAGCTTTGAACATGACATTACTAATATCAGATATCTGAAAATGACATTATTAATACCAATGCGTCATTTTTTTGAAATGTTTTCATCAATATTCAATTTTAAATAGTGAAACTCAAATTACTTGTCAGTATTGTCCTTTTTTTTTAGTTCTATTCTATTGTATTTCATTTTAGCGTCCTGACGAAGTCTCTGTTCAGATACGAAAGCTTGGCGATTTGTGAAATAGAGTAAGTTTGTTTTTTGAACGTGTTTGACTGAAAGTCCCGTTAGTATGAATTCTGCAATATTTTTTGACACTTTTACATTTTTTTGATGAACTATTATACTAAATAAATCCTTTAAAAAATAATTTTTTACATTATATGAGGTACTCTGCCCGTTTACATGTAAATGATTCTGGCCTCTAGTATTATATGTATGGATTTGGTTGACAGTTATTATGAAGTTACCCAAGTATGTTGGAGTCAGTTCATGTACCATTTTATAGATATAGAGCATAGTTAAGTAAGTCAGTCTTCGCTCCACAGTGAATAACTGTAAAGTTTCTAGCATTACTGATATAGGAGTTGACCTACTACATTGCAATACTACTCTCATTGCTCGATTTTGTAACTTTTTGAATTGGGATATTTTATTTAAATCAAAGCAGTAAAGTAATGCAGGGCAAAATGAGGTTGAAGGTCTTGTAGACAATTATTCTGGAACTTAGACTTAAGTTTTGGGACACTCTAGAAAAGAAATACAGTTTTTCCAAGATTTTATATTTGATATATTCAAAGTAGCTACTGAATAATAGGTGATTATCCAACATAAATCCCAGACATTTGAATTTCTTTACAATTTCAATTTTNCTACCAGATATAGTAAGACGATATACATTTGAATAATAGTTGAAATTTAAGTTGAAGTGTTTATTGTATTTGAAGTGAAATAAAGTTAAAATAGAGTATTCAGTGTAGTCAATTATTTATTGGTCAACCCAGAGGGAAAAACGTAAAAATATAATCACTTGTAAAACTTGAACTGACGTGAAATTAATATTTAATTTTCATTGCAAAAAGGTACAGTTCGGTTCAGAAAAAGTTTTTCTATGATTCTTACTAAGATAGGAATAAGTGCTATAGGCCTGTAGTTGGGAGCGTCGGTAGGACTACCTTATAAAAAAGGATTATGAGCAAAGTTTTCAGAAAGGAAGAGAACTCATTAGATTCAAAGACTAATTAATGAGTTGCCATAAAAATTAAATCAATTAGGTAGTTCATATATTTTAACGGAAATACCATTCATAACTCTGCAATTCTTATTTTGATGACTTAGTTGAACATTTTTTTACCTGATGAAGGACGTCTTCGAAAACAAAGTATTGGTCGTCATTAGAAGCTGTCAAATTTATATCTTTGATTATAAGTTTATCAATCATCAAATCATAATTGAGAACATGCTGTTTGAGTGTTTCCAAATGGTTCACTTCCTGAAAAAGTTAATAAATTCATCAACCACTGAATTGGACAAAGTATTCTTACTCTACAAAATACCGCCTTGGTAACAATTCATTCAGGTCTTTGAGAATATAACTTACATGTTGTCTAATTTCGCATCCCAATAGCAAACTCCAAATTTTAGCCCTTAGACATCTCGGACATCCTTTTTTCATATATTCCTGAGCCAAGGGAGCATAGTTTTTTGCCAAAATTTTCTCACCGAGTGCTATTCTTTCTGCCTCATAGACAGCTGAGTTTGTGGATGTGAAGGAGTTGTTTGCACGAAGGATTTGGTCACCTCTGGATACTTCTAGATAGAAGCTTCTCTGAAATTCGATCAGAGTGAATATAGATTATTTTCCTCGATGTATGGAAACGATGGAAAAGTTGAAGGCTATGCAGTTTTACAGCAATCAAATGCACTAGGACTGTTTGACAGATATAAGTGAACATCAATCGATATTCATGACAGTATTTATGAGTATTCATAATTTTTGAAACTTGATAATTGAGTTATTTCATACAAATATCAAAATATAAATCTGGAAATTGAGTTTTTTGAGTTGATATATTTGTTTGTTCCTCCTGGAAATAGCCTCAACATATATCCCTTAACATACAGTGTGTAAAAGTCAAATGGAATAAATTCAATATTTCGGTTACTGTACATATTTATAGAAAATCCCGAAACACGTCAAATTTAAATTATAATTTGACATTCTTCAACGTAAAAATGCTACCCCTACCTTCAACCCCCTTTGAATGACAGGTACAACCCCCAATTTTTTAAATGGGAAGTATGGGTTTGTGATATATCGTTTTAAAGGTCTCTTCATTCTCTATTCAAAAATGTTATTGCTTTCAAGTTTATTGCAGCAATTGAGATAAAATAAATTAAAATCAGGTGGTTACCAAAATTCCATAAAATACACTCAAAAACTAAAATATGATGCAAAACGTAATGACATGTAGAATACGAAAAAGAACTGTGGATGTTAACGAAGTAGATGTTCAAAATGTTCACCGCGAACGTCTTGGCAACATCCTAATCTCAAAGTCATATTATTTAACATATCAGGCGTGACCGACCTAATTGTGATCGTTATTCGTTCTTTTAAGTCATTCAAATCTGAAGGTTTAGTTTTGTACACATTGCTCTTTACATATCTTTATAAAAAAATCTAATGATGAACGATCAGGCGATCGCGCTGGCCACTCAATCGATCTTCGCCTCCCTATCCACCGGCACCGATTGGTGAATGTTGTATCGAGGTATTGCTGGACATTAACTTGGAAATGTGGCGGTGCTCCATCCTGCTGAAACCATGTCGTATTCACTGGAACTTGAGGGTTTCCTGGATCAGGATATAAATTTGCTAAACTTGGAATGACATCATTTTGAAGTAGTGCCAAATAATTATCGCCATTCAAGTTGCCCTCGATGAAAAAGGGACCAAAGATATGGTTTCCTATAATTCCTGCCCAAACATTAACCTTTTGAGGGTATTGCGTGTGTTTTTCTCTCATCCAGTTAGGATTTTCCTTTGACCAGTAGCGGCAATTTTGCCGATTAGCATGACCGTTAAGAGACAAAGTACACTCATCATAAAACATAACGTCTTTTAATTGGATGATATTGTTATCCTACATGTCCATCATTTGGTCAAAAAATAAGTTCTTCTATCAAAATCGTCTTCCATGAGCTCCTGAGTAGGTATCATTTTATAGGGATGCATTATATTTTCTTTTGTTTACTATCGATGTATGGCTAACATTGAATGGAGTGGATGCCTGTCTACTCGGTGTATGTGGGTTTTCCTCAAACTCAAGCATCACATCTAATTTGAGTTCATCACTCATTGCATTGGCAGCTGCTTTTTTATCTGCCTCACATGATCAAGCTCGCGAAACTGTTTCTCTATTGTTCCTTGAGATATGGGCGGTAAATTAGTAAATGTCTCATGAAATAGGCGAGCTACTTCTTGTTGTGTTCGGGTTTTATCTTCGTAACCAATCATTTGTAAAACAGTTTTTTTATGCATTTCCGGTAATCTAACCATTTGTTAGACGAACTTTAAACTTAAATTAAAATACTGACAACTAATGTTGTAACATACAAAACAAGTTAACAAGGCGTTTTAAGAACATTGCTATGGTTTTTGCTTACTTTCTTATTATCAATACCTCACGTGTGGGTTGGAGTAAAAGAAATCAAGGTTTACAATGAATTCAGTAAAGCTGTTAAAATTGTAATTGTCAATTTCAATTTAGTTTCTCGCTTCCCATTTAAAAAATTGAGGGTTGTATCTGTCATTCGACAGGGATTAAAGGTAGGGGTAGCATTTTTCCGTTGAAGTATGTCAAGTTATAATTTAAATTTGACCTGTTTCGGGATTTTGTTAAAATATGTACCGCAACCGAAATAATGAATTTATTTCAATTGGCACACTGTATACATATATCGATAAAAATGAGTGAAATCACATACTTTTCAAAATTTTGCGTTCAATCAATTGCTTAAGGATAATTTGAGATTAAATCCCTCAATCCACGGTGTCGGGATTTTATCAAATTATTATACACTCAAGTTATCTGCAAAACTTCGAAAATTATGGATTTGCAGAAATTTTAATCGAATAAACTTCGCTTCGTGTATTCGGGACTTTTTTAAGAAGTGATTTAAATTCAAATTCGAAGTTAGTGTTCGCTTGAAAATGACTGAATATTACTTTATTTGCCATGTGTTATTCTGGACCTGTCAAATTTGACATTTCTTAAAGAAATTTTCAGAAAATCGGATTTCCTCTGGAAATTTCTAAAATTGTCGGTACTGTCATATTATTTGAATCTTCGGCTTCACCGATTTTAACGAAAAATGATTCAAACTTCATATTTCTGATGAATATGAGACCTGCACACAATATGCTTTCCACAACACAAAATACATTTGTGGACATATTACAAAAAATAATTGAATGCATTTTTGGTTCAAAGTTCTTCTAGTATTCTCAAATTAATCAGAAACTGGCTTGAATAAGTAGATAACAAATTAGTATTCAGTTTAATACGAGAAATACATGAAATATAAATAAATTGACAGAATTTAGTTTCCTTCTGTTCATGAAAGAGGACATATGCATCCTCACTCACAAGCGATTTTGGTGAAATTGGGGACACGTGTGAATCGTTGTATTCATGCCACATGCCACTATATTGGTGCAATGTAATACTCGTTGTAATTAGTCCCTCTGTGATTCGAAAGTGCATATAGATAATAACGACAAGGATCCACATTGTCTGCTGCATAATTGCTCATATCTAATCATTTTATTAAAGAAAAGTCAATGGCAACATTCAATTTGCCTCTGAATCGTTCCGTTGAATCTTTTTAAATGAATTACTAAATAAAATACGGGATAACTTATGGATTGATAGGCACTTTCTTCTTTTTCTACACCTCGAACACGTTGATTTTTCATCTCTATCTTCTTTTGTGAAGGAATCCAAGCATTGTGACAAACTGAATTGGCGAGTTTTTTGTGGTATGGGGAGAGACAAATCCCAGAATGGATTGAAGGTTACTGATGAGTGTCCAAAGTGTGTGTACTTCATAGTGGATTTTAATTGACCAAAGAAGTTGTCTACAATCTCATAGTTGTTCGTTTTCAAATATCTCAGACAGGATTCTGTGCTTATTCGCTGTCACTCAATTTTTTGTCAATCTCCTTTAAGATTGGTTTAGGTTTCTCAATAATTCTATTAAGGTCCTCATGTAAATCTTCTAAATGATATCGAAGGAATTCCTGGTCGTCTTGATGGGCAGAACCCATTAATTGAGGGGCAAATCTTTGAATCTGACTTTTAAAGTAGGCAGTGTTGATTACTATATCAGATGAATATTCTGACCACAATTTTTTGATAACTCCTGCGAACGCTTTGATTAAAGTAACTTTCATAGTAGAAATACTAGCATTGCTATGTTCCATTCATGTATCAATTTTTAAATATTCCAGCAACCATCTCGTGTTTGATAAACATTGAATTACACTGTTCGTGAAACAGATGTTTCCAATATTTTTCAACCCATTGAACCCAAGAGTTCTGACTGAAGAATGTATCAGTGATATAATGTTGTAATTGTTGATACTACGTTCGTCACTGCTGACTTCTTCTGAGTAATCCCGGATACGATGAATCACCCCTTCATATGATCGGTGAGATAAGGAATTCGAAGCTAAACTGTTTAAAACTGAATTGGATATAGAAGACGTTTTGAATTTGGTAGAATTCCAGAACTTGTTCATATTTCTCTGTATCTTCTGGTGGGAACTTATGGGGTGTCTCACAAGAAATATGGGAGGTTTTATGAGGAATCAATCTCTCATTATGACTAGGGTATAAATATGATTTGAAAACAACGGGATGAAAAAAAAATCATCCAGTGAATGTGACAATGGCATTGTGCCAAAAACAGAAGCTGAATTACCACGCTGTATAGCTAAACTAATTATTTGGTTCAGAAAGGTGGTACACGTTTTCCTTTGGTTTCTTCAGTCATCCTTCTGCCTATTTCATTAACAAAATTCAGAGATATATTGAGAAAAAAATTCTGGAAGGTACGATTAATTTTTCTAATGTGGTAATAGTTCAATATTTTCTGGGCTCAAGCGTAAAAAAAACTTGAGAAAGCTATTTGTTAGCTATTTTTCTTTCAGTTTCTATTGCAAAGAATCATTATGGAACCGAAACAAATATAATTCTTAGGAACGTTGAACAATGTGATAGTGGAAATAGTATCGATATGAAATGTCACTTAAATGGAACACTATCATCTTCTATGGCGTAGGTACTTCGAAATTTCGAACATCAGTTCAATGTTTATAATGTTGTGGAATTGGCCGCGGTGGTAGTGCGCCCGACTCACGATCGGAAGGTCGTGGGTTCGATTCCTGCCTCGACCAGATATTTTTCTCGAGAGAATTTATCTGGTTGAAGCTGGGATGATTCTGCAACCGTGTTAGGAATCACACGTTAATAGGTAAGACCTCGTTAGTCCTTAGCTCGCACAAGTTTCTCAACTTCTGAGAGTTGTCGTTCGTATGGGGCCAACAGCTGATTAACGGAAAAACAGATTTTTTTCAAATCAACATTGATTTGAACTAAAATCACTGTTTCCCACGTTTTTTGTTGAATGATTGAGGAGTAGAGAGCCAAAAAATATTGTTCCCGAAAATCTTTCCATTTAACTTTCGATAAAAAAAAATTCCAGCTAGTTTCTGAATAAATTATAGAGACTAAAAGAACTTTTCCTCGATAAGACGAGTACCTAGAAGGTGCATTAATTTCTATACTGGAAATGGGTCAACAAAATTATCTTCTGAACATATTGCCTGTAGTTCTGTTATTTATAAAAAAAGTGAAGTTTGAATCATTTTTCATTCAATTCGTTAGATTAAAAATCCAGAAATTAATGAAAATAATCGAAATGACGGTAGAGTTGAGAAGTGTGGCGGTATAAAATTAAAAATTGAACAACCTTTCACTGGAGCATTGTCAGAAATTTCCAGAGGTAATCAAATTTTGCAAAGCTACATTTCAATTCATCTATAAAACAAATTCCTTATGGTGGGGAATTTAGTGGAATCACTGGATAACTCTTGATAGAATTAATGTGAAACGGTTTATACAAAAATGATTAGAGAAGTATGCAGTATTTTTTTTTGAAAATGACATAATGGAAAGTTAATGTATTAATGAAACATTTACTCACCAATTCTGCTAAATTCTTTACTTTGAGTGGTATTTGAGAAAATTCCCAATGGTCCCTGAAATGAACAATAACAAGGGGAAGTTGAGAATACGACAAATTTGTCTTAAAGTTTCACCCGAATGTTGACTATCATTGACTTTACTATAGGAGACAGTTCGCGGATTCAGTAATCACCTTACACTAGATGTTGCAGTGAGACTTTTAGAACAGTATTAAAGGATGACCTGATTATCCTGAATTTATGTAAGTAGGTACTATTTTTTATTAGAATTCAAACTATTATTTATCTTCATTAATTTTTCTTGAGAAGACCGTGCCTGGATGTTCGGAAATATATCGTAAGCTCTGAAATGTTTTGTATATACTTCTACAGAACATGTTGCTCGCAATTCTCAGATCATGGTAGCAGTGAAAAACAGGGGACGAATTTCATCTGCGGTCGATGTCGAAACTTTGCTTTGCAACTGACCGCCTTGGGTAGCCTCGTTATTTTTGATATTCGCATATTGGGTTACTTGTCAATCCAATAAAAAAAAATTGTCTACCATTAGAGTCATGATTATGATAAACAAATTTTTAAAAGCCCTATGTTATTTTCAATGGCTTACCCTTGATTTTTGTCTTTGAGAGGCCCTTTCAAATTCAGCAGAACCTCTAAAAAATCCTTGGGCGCATATACAGGCCTATACTTATGGATATCGACCTAAAATTTATCGAATATTCAACTGCAAAAATAATAATCCTACCAGATATTTTACCAACTTCGAAATTACTGAGTTCCGTCCACTTATTCGAGATTTCTTCCTTTTCGTTGGTAGTTCTCAGCTTCGCCAAATGAATGCCAAGCTCGCTGCACATAGAGTTAAGTGATTTGTGGATTCGCTTGTCCCAGTGGATTTGACACTTTCGGAAAAACGGATCGTGAGGGCTGACTTCCTTTTTTCTCGATTTTACCCATCTGTAGATGCTGTTTTTAAGTTCAGATTCCAGACCATTTTCTTGCATCGCTTTGAGCAGGGAAATTTTGAAATCATCTGGTTTTACACTAGGTGTTACTACCAATTTCTGAAAACAGGTTAAATTTGACAACGTCAAAAACGTCATGGACCTTTTCAGTACAATACAGTAATAGTCTGGTGGTGCAGGGTGTAAGTTCTATAACGCGAACTTTAAGATATCGCTTATGATGAAAAAGTACTTGGTAGAAAGCTTGTTTTTCAGATTGATGAACACTTTTCATTCTAAATGGTTTGATAGTAACAATTCTAACCACTCTAACCGAATCAGGATTTTAGAGTTCGGCAGAGCCGTACTCTCAGCATACAAACTAGTCGGCGTCGTCAAGAAGCTGGGTTTATTTGGTCGAGTGTGAATAGGTGTGAGCCTATAAACCCTTGCGGGTGGCGGTGGAGGGTCGAATATACCCAATCATTTTGGACCTAACCTAGTAACAGTTCGAATGAAGAAATCAGCCACTTTTTTTCTACTACTTGGGAACCGTCTGACTTGTCCATCTCTCCCAAGTCTCCAGAAAACACTCTACAGCCTCATGGGCTTATTGTGTTTTTCTCCCATATTTTTCATGTCACTGTACTATTCTATACAGATCCTTCGTTGGATTCATATCATAATTTAAGTTGTCCTTAAAATGCCGATCAGATCCTCACTAGAATGAGAAAAAATGTACTGTGGTCTGTCAACTTCAGAATGAATTATTCTTTACAACGGAATTCAGGTCCTGTGTGGTAGAACACATACCAACTTTTTGCTTGCCTCATGGCAGACCAAAGCAGGTCTTCAGAGTTCCACGTTTGCTAGCTGACCTGAAAGATCACTCACCAAAGGGTTGAGTTTGTTTAAGTGTGATTCGCATTGATATCCAATTTGACACCAACCAATTAACACACAGCTACATTGACATTCTATGTCAACGGTTCTATAACATATACAAGATGCATAGAATATCCCTGGTGTGATCACATGGACCCACTCCTTATGTGAGATGTTTCGTCAAAAACTCTCGATATACGGCACTCTTGGTAAATAAATAATAAGGAGATACAATAAATTTCAGCAGTTCATTCACAGAGGTGCTGAGTACAACTTAAATGACGTAGCTTCACAATGCCAAGTTGGCACTTCAATTTTCAATGTTGCTTACATTTGGAAATAAATTGATATTGGGTGAAAGTTTTTTACTTTATGGCCCAATTAGATCTCAATAAAATACGCCGACAGATTTCGATTTGAGTACAAAATTGGGTAAATCTTATTTCTCGAGGAGAGTTTTTGACAAAACAAAAGCGAACCTTTCAAAATACCACGGTTTTTATGCATCTTAAACATACCTAAACCTTCTTACAGAATGTAAATGTCCAGGTTCTTGACACCAAATTTTTAACTAATTCCTCAAACAGAAATTTCATCTATTAGGTATTTTATTACAAAAATTCTTAGTGACGGTTTGAATGAAGAGTTATTGAAAAAATTAACTTCAAAAAGAAAATATGAAACAATTTTTGTATTAAATGTTTCCATGAAATTAACCAATAAAATGAAACTGAAAGCTGATGAAACGAAACCAATCAGGAGACAAATGCTCTGGAAATAGCATCGAATTTTATTTTCTTTCAGAGACACTATAAGACACATTTCCTGAAAGGCTAATTATTAATTGAATAATTCAAAAATGTACTTCCCTTTATACTAAAGCCATCATACATAAAAATCAAGTCTATCCTCATGTGGGGGTAGTTGACTCTTGTGATTCTTCAAAATATTTTGCTGCCTTCCGATCGGAAGGCCTTAGTCAACAACATATAAAAAGTTATAAAAGTAAATAATCTACCTTTCAAAAGGGATAGATTCAACGATTTCCACTGAAGCAATGATAACATACAATAAAAATAGGAGATTTCATCTGAATACTCTGGTAGAAAGCCCTTGGTCAGTGAACTATTTCGAAATATCTCAATAGAAAACTGTTTTCATGTACGAGTGTACTGTATTTTTATTATAAATAGGTAGACTGACACTTTATTTTTGCATTTTTATGTAACACCATCAACATCATCAACACCATCAACATCAAGTAAAATTCATGTAAGTTTTCCAAAATGATGGTGTTATTAGAATTATGAAGAGTCTTTAACAGACTATTTTCTCCCAGCTATTTATTGAAATTTTTTGCAGCAGTTTATAAATTGTATGTATCTACAGCATAAGAAAGAATTATAGTTATTGATATGAATTCTACTGTTATTTGTTTGTCAATTTTTTTTTTGAATTTGCCATAATCTATTAAAACACTTTTTTACCTGAACATTCTCGTATAAACTCATGTAGGACACGGACTTTTTTAAATCTTCGCAAATTTTCACAGTTGTGTGATGGATACTTTTTTCTTTTGCGTCTTCCATTACACGCTGTATATAAGCTTATGTATTGCAGAAAATAATTCAACAATAAAAACAGTTCATATTGATTGTTTACAAGTTTCCAAGGAAACATTTTTAGCTAGCCTGTACAAGTGTAGGTACATTATTGCGTTCAAGAAATTGGTATGGGCGCCATCTGGTCAGAAATTGTGGTGAAAATGTTGAAGAGAAATGTTTTTGAATATTTAAAATATACAATTGAAATAGACCGGCTTATATTTAAATTATGAAACCACTTGATTTGTACCCCTCAAAAAATTTGTCATTAATCCTAATTCGATAATTAAATCAATATATTATAATGTTTTAATTCAAATAAAGATTATACAATAGTATCTGAGATTTTTCGCCATCTATAAACCAATTGTTCAAACTTCAAATCCGGGCACAAAGTTTACCAGTTCGGTGTAGCTTTTCACTTACAGATGTCGTCAGTATGTCGTATATCTAGTTTCATATTGTAACTGGATGTTTTTATTGCATTGAGATATGTTTTTTGAGTCTCATGGAAATACATTGAAGTTACAACAACTATTGAATCAACATTTATTAACTGTATTCTTATAAATGTTTGATAGTAAAAAACAAATAAATACAAAAATTCATAATAAAAAAATTTACAACAGAAAGTATAAAGCATGCCTAAAAAGATATGAGAGAATCAAAAAAATAATGAATATATTTATGGAACATTACTTTGAAGAAGTAGTTCAGCCTGAACTTATTCATTATTTCAATTCGATTTTTGGGTATAAATATATTCTATACAATCAATAGCTACCTACCTACTGAAGAGTAAACCCAAACTAAATAAATGTAGACTTTCCCTTCTATGTTGGCAGTGTCAATATGATAAATGAAGATATCATGTTCTGTAGGCTTCCGAAACTTAAGAGACAGAAAATATATAGAATGTATCTCCAATATGACGGATCGCCATCATAGGCGGTTCACCATATTGATACCCGTATCATGGGTATCAATATGGTAAAAAAATAGTCAGCCATCTCGAGCGCTCGTATTCTTTTCAGAAAAGCCTTTCTTTTGATACCTACATCAATAAAGAACGTAAAAAACTAATAGGTACGCCAGCTTGGACGGTCCGTCATATTAGATGTAGAATGAATGACGTCACTTAGCCCATGGACTGTCAACCAAACAAAACGTGTGAAATTTCAACTGAGTTGAGGATGACTGCTTCAAAATTCAGTAGAAAGATTTGACAGAATTAACATATAGGTATACATACGAGTACATACAAACATTATAATAAAAAAAAATCGTTAATTGACGGACTTGAATTGTTTCATTACTTTATAAGGTGGGGAAAATTATATATACTCTGTGCATACAAGCACAGAGTGCTCGAGTGCTCCAAAACATTATCATGCAGAGTGCATCACCCAATCAAGGCTGTTTGTACAGAGTCGCATCAAGGAATGACCGAAAATTTATTTTTCTTAAAGGGTATAGGATTTTTTTTAGGTGGAGTGCAGGTATACAAATCAGTAGTTTCTTCAGCCGTATCGGTACTTGACATTTTAAAAATTACGTTACGTTAAAACGTAACTCACCACTCCGATTCTGTACTGATATAACTGAATGAATTGCGCCAGTCGGTGACAGTTAAATCTGATTGGCCTGCCCAAGGAGGCTTGTTTTTTTTACCCAATTGATTCAAATGAGCGTGGTGATCACGTATCTATTATTGTTTAGGTTATTTTGTTTGATGTACAGAGTTCAGTTACCTATATTCTATAAGTGACAAAGATTATGGGTGTCTACAAAGCTTGGAGCATGAAATAAAGGGAACTATTCTATATTTTTCCTCCTTTGATTCATAGACAGGCTGCCATAGCATATCAAACGTTTCGAAAGAAGCTGATGCGTAACGTCAGACTCAAGAGTTCCATTTAGTATCCAACTCACCAGAGCTCATCTTCGAAACTTGTTTCCTATAATATACTTCGAAAATATATAAGATGGAGTTAGGTGAAGTAACTTAAAAGTTACGCCGGAGATTCGCGAAATCTTACAAAAATAAGTAAAGCTGTTTCACTTAAAGGTAAGTTAAACAAGTAACTAATATCTGAAGTGTCCTTTCTTCGATTTGCTGTTGTGGTATACTCTTAGAGGAGTGTAAGATCCATTTCCATTCATATCTGAAAAAAAAATATTTAGAAATGATTTTCTTCATCAGTACAACACGACAGTTCACTCGAGAAAAAATGGCGCAGTACGTTGTAATAATGATTAAACTTACTTTGGATGACTGCAGGGGCAGGTTCGGGAGGCAAGTGCATGGGCGGAGCACATTTGGGTTTCAAATAGAAATGGTAAATGACGAAGTAAAAGATAGCCACGGAGCACGCCGCGACTGCAAAACCTCCGTTAACTCTTTGGAAGGTGTATTCGGAGTTGTATTCAGTGTACGCCATTCCTCCAAGAAGAGAACCAATACTCCGACCTGCGACAGACATTTTTGTCATTTTTCGGATTCAATATTCAACGTTAAATTCGGGAAATGGCGCAGTGGGTAGGTTCAAGCAATCTTACCTAAACAGAAGTGAGCAACTATTGGCAGTGCTTGTCCACAGGCGGTGAATTTTCGTGGAACCAAGTGTCTCAAGTAAAGGACGGCGGTAATGTACATTATATGAAGAGTAAAAATTTCCATCCATTCGCAGAAAAGGAGGTAAGCTGCGTTATCGATGAACATGAGGGCTGCAAACAAAGTGAGTTATTTTTGGTTTAACCGAATGAATTCAAGATAAGCAATCACATAATTCAAAGAAGAAAATGACAAGCATATTTCCCTTAATAATTTAACACTAGTTGATATGTATCTTTCCTCAATTACAGTGTGCATGGATCGACTAATTAAAATAAGCTAGGTATCAGTCCAATCAATGTTTTGAATTGAATTGCATTATGGATGAAACCAGGGCCTAAAACAAAGCATTCGTGATACAACATCATATAGCGCTTTTCAACTCAGCATAGATCTCATCAGTGGTGCTAGTCTAAACCACGAATGCAATGTTGGACTCAACCGGCTTGAAAAGGTGATGACATATTTACTTACGAAGACGCCATCAATGAAATCGAAGAAATAATGAATCTAAGAGTATCAAAGATAAGTGTAGCTCCTCAAGATCTGCAGTGAAGCCAAGATTCGACCTTGATCGCCGAATGGAATTCGTTCTTCGTCTTTTACTGCAAGGCAACTGGTTGAAACCAGAGCCCAAAAACAAACATTCGTGAACACCAGAGCGCTGTTTCGACTCGCCATAGGCTTTGCAACGGATTGCTTTGGAAAATGTTCATCTTTGATATTCGTGTACTTAGTCCCCTGTGGACCCCATAGACAGACAACTTCGTCGCCTTCACTATATAAGGATTATCCTTTAAGGACAGTCCGACAATGAAGACGTAATGCAGCATACTATCACTAATGAGACCTATGACGATTCGAAACAGCAATGTTTCGTTTTGGGTGTTTGGGCGTTTTGGGTGTTTTGGATGTTTCGTTTTAAGGCTTTGGTTTCGACTAGATCATTTACTGACAACGGTTGATAGAAATTGGTCACGTAAAATATCTTATAATTCAAGTGCTTTGTGTCAAAACAAATCTTGTTCACTTTTACAGTTCCTAGCATAGTATCACTACGTGTTACTCTTTTTTTTGAGGCCAATGAATATGAAATATCTTCTATTTAATTTGGCTCCAGACAAATGTAAAGTCTATAAGTATTTGACTGCAGCTATTAGTTTGCAGCTTTTTTACTAAGTTTTTCATGAAGACTAGTTTACGATGAACAATCCCAAAATGATTTTGTTTCTGAGAAGATGAAATATGTAAACTGGTGTATGATTTTTTTGTTACAGTCTTTGACAAATATCATGGAATTTACATAGACACGTATGCTTCCTTCACTCACCTATATGATGCCAAATATAGTTGACGAAACAAAAGATAAGGATATTGTTATGACCGCAATAATCCACTATTCTTTCTGCGAATACAAGGAATATCACAGCTGGAAGGGCTCCTATCGTTAAAGTCAGACCTATCATGAGTGGCTCTCCATCCGTTATTCTTACGACGTGCCTGCAACAGAAATGATAATATTATTGAACGAAATGTCTAAGCTCAAAGTTGAAACTTTCACAACAGTAATTAAGAGTAACAGTAACAAATTCAGTAATTAAGAGATATGACATTGTGTCTATTAACCTCAATACTATCTAACCGACTGCGTCGCTTTGTATTCAATTGACACGTTTGGTTAATAACAATTAATCTTATATTGAATTTCATCAGGAAGTTGATTCAAAATGCTTACCAAGGTAAGTAGGAATCTATAGCATTCCAGAACACACCAAGAAGAAACAGAATAACGGCGAGGGCTGCTGTTTCGAGTCCATACTTTCTGACAGCTGACATTGGAAGAGCAAGAAGACCACATCTGGTGTGCCACCACCACTCTGGAGGACTCAGAGGCATTTTGCTGTTAATAATGCAAAGTTCGACTTAGTTTTATGTTCGCAACCCACCATTTCTTGGCAATTATTTTTATTTTTTTTATTCAAACATACCTGTCGAATAGAAGAATCACGACAGCAATTAACATGAGAACAGTAAAACATATCATGGCATCTAAAAACCTTCCATTGGCTGCTCCTCCTATGATGGGAGCGAAAATCCCGAATCCAAGAGCTCCAGCTGCAAACTGCTTACCCACATCACCTCTACCTATTCGAAATATCAAGTTGTTTTTATTAGAAAATTACTATCAACAAATTCTCGGTTTGTACATTACCTGTCGAGGTTTCTCTTGTTGCTATCACCACCGCAGTACCGATTAGTACGGAAGCTGCTGCAGGAAAAATATCGGCTACGGATCGGAGAAAGAGGTACAGCCAAAAGCTATCGTAACCGCATTGGGATTTTTTGAGTAAACTGTCTTTGTTCGTGTAAGCGTTGTGAATTTCGCAGAGTACGACGGGCTGACAATCATATTCACCGTCGTTTGTTAAGTTTTTCCGAATGGCCGAGTTGATTCTGCACTGAAATCCGTCAACTAGAAAAGGAATAACATCAACTTAAAATTTCATTTGTAGTATTTTTTTTCAAGGACAGAATACAAGCATTACAGAAAAATCCTTAAGACCCTCTAAGAGCGGTGCTTGTGCGAAAGTGGCGATTCACGTTTGATTTGAATCGCTGGAGATTAAATTCATTCGGAAAAACGTCCTCAGGAAGTTTATTTCACATACACGCAGTTCTTTAAATGAAAGAGTTCTATAGCAGTGAAGTTCGAGGTGTACTGAGTTGAACCCCAAACCGATGAGCAGCCACAGTCCGTCGCGTATTTCTGATATGTACCGCTCTTGGTGGAATCAAGAGTGCCAACTCACTTGAACACCTCCCCGTGAAAGTATCTATAAAAGAGCGACAAATCTCCAACCTTTCTTCGATGTTCCAGACTATCAAGGTTGCAAGTGATGTTCGAGTCTCCAATCCAGCGGATGGTTCTTTTCTGGATGTAATCCAGCAGCTTCATGGTATGTTTGGGGGCGGAGCTCCATACATGAGAACAATACTCCAAAGAAGGTCTGATCTGAGCTTCATAAAGTATCAAAAGTTACTGAGGTGTGTACAGTTTTCTGGTTCGGAATAGTGTTCCAAGCTTTTGAGAAGCAGCCTTTGCAATTCCAGCGACATGATGGTGCCAAGACATATTGGTGTCCATTTTACCCCCAACAAACTTATCGAAGCAGAAAGCGAAATTGTCTGCTTGACATTATTATATCCTGTTCAGAGATTTATTTACATGGAAACTATCGCTAATATTAGTTCACAAAACTCCGTTCACAATCCAAAAAAAATGGAAAAAGTGGCCAGAACGATGGTAAAAAATATGAAATTACAATAAAAAAGTTGCCTTTAGAAAACGGTTTCATTAGGAACATGAATTTTTGTCAAGAATTTTTTTTTGTAAAATGTGACAAAATACATCATTCATCTCTTTTTTACGTTTTATTATCTTTAGAATTTGTTGCTCTAAATTTTTTTTTATCTATAGGTCAATAGAAAACGGTCTATATCAGTGTTTGAGGGATGAACCCAAACTATGATTAAACCTTTTGTATTATTCATTTGTATCAAGACATTTTCTGCAATGCAGCTGAAAATATCACTATAGATCCCAGGTGCGTGCCTGAGGGGGGGTAATGGGGCAATTACCCCCCCCCCACGACTATGACTACATAGAGAAAAAATTCGAACATTTCTTATTTTAGAACTCAAAAAATGATGATGATTGAAGACACAACTACGGGTTTTTTCACCTGTCTTCTAGTCTTCTAGCTTCTATAGGAGCAAATTATCGAAAATAGGAAACGTCTCACTTCTATCATTGAGAGCATTATCTTTTTGGGTCGGCAGAATATTCCCTTAAGAGGACATACAGACAGTGGAGCTATTGAGATAAAAAACTCTGAAACAGAAGATATTGATATAAATGTAGTGTTACTCAAGCTTTACTTTTCAAAACGTATATGAACCCTTTATAGTAAATATTGTCTTCTGTCTGGGTCATCTTCATTCAATTCATGTAATATATTCAGTTCATATATAGGGTTAAACCTATGTCTTCTGACGTATTTCTTGACGGTGGTTGTCGAGACATCATTCTCTCGGGCCGTGGACTGCAGGAGGTTATTCAATACAGACACAACAATTTCGGTCTGAGATAGATTTTCTTCCTGCTCCTTAAGCTCTAGCTGCACTTCTAGTTGATTGAAATTTTTTAACCAGTTCCCTGAATTATTTCTGGCAGACGACCTTGAATTATTTCGGGAAATATTGCATTGAGGATCCTTTCTGTCTCATCAAAATTACGGCAAGTCTCGGCATAAATGAGGATTACTTCTATTTTTACCTCTGAAGATCTAACGCGATCCATTTTCGCGAATTTGAACGAAATGAAATGAAACCAATTCTCAGTATCAATAGTGACATTTGTCAAGCTAACAAAGTACTGTGTATTACTAGGGTAACATGTTTCAATCCTCCTTTGATTGTACAGTTACGAATTATCATTTTTCTCAGTCCCCAATTCATACACCAAAAACTCCGCAACCGGTTATTCAAATTCAAAACAGTGAAATACCTTTCTATGATTCCTTTTCATACAAACTTGGTGCGACTTTGATATACCTATTGCCCCGTTCAAAAGTTAAGAGAAGGGACTATTTACGTTCGCACTGTTTATGCCACTGAGAGCATGCATAGTTTTATAGAATTCAGAAAACCGAAAACGGATCTGACCCCACTAAAATCCACAATATTACAGAGCAGGTCGTGTCATTTGTTCGTACATCTTGGATCCCGCGGATACTTCAGAATCAACCTGTTCTTCAAAGCATTCGAAAATGTTTCACCAAAGTATTCGACACAATTTGATGTAGACTTTCAACTTGAGTGGAAGTTTATTCCTCAGTAATTATGGAATGGAGCCGTACCAATAATTATTTGCCAAACTACATTGTTAATTTAAAAATATGTTGATTTATGCAGTGTTTTTTCAAGAATTATTTCCACATCTTTTATTGAGCACAACGTCAAAATACAATCTGGGTTTTCTCCAGATGACCAAAAGTTTGAGTATTCATCAGAATCGAAGGCGTGTTTGATCTTGATAATCTAATACTTTAGGAACTTACTGAATGGATATTTGCAGGTTCCCTCTGTATCGTTGTCGATATTGGGTTTCAGACCTATCCTAAAATCAATTGGTTTCGAAAACTCGGTGTAAACTTCACAAACGATGTCCCCGCTGGAATTTGTGTAGCACATGTGTGGGTGCGGAATGAATATTATACTGTCGTTCGATATAGGAGGAGGAGTAGTCTGAAAATTGAAAGGTTTCATTATTTCCGATACATTCCAAATTCATTTTATGAAGGTAATATCATCAAATGTTAATACTAGCTGAAACAAGGGAGACAGAGAGAGAGAGAGAGAAAGAGCTGAACACAAGTGAAAGGTTTATATTGATAAATTCTCCCACACTTACGAAATATGATCCATCTGGTTCCACTATAGGTCCGTCTCCACTGTCATAATAATCACTTTCTTCATTAAATTCGACACTTTCATCTTTTGGTGGCATTGTTGTTACTTCTTTGGAGTAAGCTGATGTGGCATTGCAGGAAAACTCGCAGTTTTTTACCAAAACAGATCCTTTCTGGAAAATAATAACACTGTGGATAGAGTAACTTCATAGTGATGTTAAGAAATTGTATGAGCTCAGTAACGAACAGTATAAATATCAATCTTTTGTTTTCCGAAAGAACTGAAAGTGACCTAAGAAAAGATACGACTTCATGATATATGTATAGTATATACGAAGTCAATTCGAATGGTATAAAAACTAAATAGTTACTGAACGTCGGCAGTTTATTTGTATGGAATGGGCGGCGTGGTATAATACGAGGTCTAATAATTATTTTTAAGTGGGAGGTTTTAAAGTATTAACTAGTGAATTCGTCTGACTCGGTACATTAGTATTTTATATAGCTACTCGGATTGACTTCCTATAAACTATAAATAGGAATATAAAATCATTTTCATAACAACGTGGTGAGATCCATGAATGAGTCCGTCACATCAACTTTTTTGAACTCACTACTGTTGACAGCCAATTGTAGATTGCAAAATCGAGAAGTTCACATGACCCATATAATCTTTTCTACATTCTTAGTATATAATTTCATATTAATAATATTAAACCAGAGTCATTTACCAGCATTGTACTTAATGCGTTCATCAAGGAGTGGAATTTATGCCTGGAATGAAATAACCGACATTATATTTTTTAATACTCACACTAGTGCCCCAATCGTAACAAGTCTTATCTGCTCCACAGCGGTCTTGAAGAATGAATCCTCCTTCTCCATCACAAGCAAAAGATGCCTTAGGTGGGTTCCTCATCTGAAATCAAGTACTTCAAGTAAATGGAATAATAATAATAACTCTTCATTCAAATCATGAAATTATGAAAAAGTAACAAGAATTAAATGGCGCTCCGGGACGACTTGATAGATTCCAGTGGCCATTTGTTTTTTCAGCTGCAGGAAAACCCGGAGCGTCATTTAATTTTTGGTGTTGTTTCATGATTTCATAATTTTTATTACTTTCTTTTCATTCATATTATATCCATAATAATAGATGGTTATTGATTCACATCATCAAATAAAGGATCAGTGTTTTAAATTTATTTTCTACTTTAATATCGGCTCCAATGAACACATGTTCCTTTTTCTAGAAAAGGTGCTCTAATTTTCGTGTGTGAAAAATGTTTTCATTAGATTTTTTTCCTACTACCAGTTACACACGAAGAGATGGTACTTGTTGCTCCGCAAGCTCAAGAACACCGCTAGTTTCTACAAATTCAACTCAAACAGTAAAATCATCAAATAAACCATTGATTTCTTGATTGAATCCTTAACAATCCTGATTAACATATATTTTACTGAAGGGATACTCTCTGACATCTTTCAAGTAAGCAAATTTGTTTCAATTTATAAAAAAGGACATAAGAATTTACCAGATAACTACACACCTGCCTCCATTATTCCCACTATAAAAAAAAAGAAATAATCTAATCAAAGAGTCCCTCCTAATGAATTATTTTAATAAGTTCAGTTTCCCTCAGGAGCAACAGTTCGGTTTCATTAAGAACAAATCTGTAACTGATGCAGTGGTGAGGTAATTCAAAATGTTATTGAAACTATGTAAGTCACGATATTCTTATCAATGAACTGGAATTTTATGGAATGAGATGAAGAACCTTGAAGTTTTTCATCCATATCTATCTTTGTAATATAATATGTAAATGACCTGATCCATTATTTACTACCTAGTGAAGTAATTTGCTTTATGGACGACACCACAGCAAAACAGTCGAGCTCAGATATCAGGAAACTGAGAGATATAACTAATAAAATTGAAGAAAAAGCAGTAAGTTAACTAGTTTAGTTGACCCCATCTATACATTCCCGAGAGGAAAAGAGGAAGTCCAGGGACACCCTGTATGTAGATATACGATACGAAAGGAAAAGGGCCTTTCGAAACAACTAGTTTCATATGAACATCGTATTATACGAAAATAATTTTTTTCCATTCACATTTGGAAAAAACTACCGTGCATATTCTGGTCATCTGTATAAAGAGTTTTTTCATTGACTCTTCATTTTTTCTTTTTTTTTGAAAGTTTTCAACATTTTTTGTTCATTGATGGAAAAGTAGAAAACCAAAAAGCCTTTTTGCCAAAATTACCTCACATATTCCAATCAAACAAAAAAATCTTCATGTACTTACAATTGGAGGCACTAAAATCAGTAGCCAATAAAAAATCGTCGCCAGCACTAAACATGCTGCTATCATCACCCGGAGGTATCTTCCTGTTTTACTTCTTTGCGCTCCACCAAATCCACCAGCGAGCCTATCTGCTAAAGGAGCTGCCACAAGGGGCCCTAACAGAGCCACTGCTGGTGATATTATCGATATCAATATCGATTCGTCTTTGGATAGCCCTAGAGTTATCATGTGGAGGGGTAGAAAAGGGAAGAGGCTCCCTATAGCTGAAAACAAGAAGGTAAATTTGAATTAATCAAACATTTTTCACACAAAGTGTTCAAAATATATTTGAAATTAAATTGTTTTTGAAATATTCAACTTGGGTGACTTCTTTGCAATTAAAGTCAGATGTACAGTGCCAGTTTATGTCTGAAATGCTTTGTGGACAAAGCTTTTCTGTAACGTTTACAAATTCAATATGCTTTATTCGTAGAATCCTCAATTCTTTACTACTTAATGAGTTGTATCATCACTCGAGAAGAACTTTTTTTTCAAAATATGGGATTACATTGTTAACTTGTCATAATAAGAAACCATAACTGGGTTCTTCTTAGTTGTTGACACATCAATAAAAAAATGAACAATGAATTAAGTGGATAACTCTTACATATATACTTACCCCCGAACACTAGGAACAAAACGCATTTCAGAGAAATCAAACTGGTATTGAAATACTTCACTTTCATTTTGTTTTAGGGTTAGTCAAATTTGGACGTCAAAAAAATCCTTGACAATACAATTCGTGCTATACCAAGTATCAGGTTTTTTCCATTTCCGCCTCATTGGAATCCTTGAACTACCGAACCATCTGGAAAAACAAACAATATTTTCAGTATCACAGACGAGCTACATATGCGAATACTACTATAGCATTGATTTTGGAAGGCTCAGTTGTGTCATTTCAAATATTTTAGTGTATTCAAAGACATGATTTTTCAAATCACACTCTCAAAATTATTCACAAATAATCTCAACAATACATTCTAAAGATAAACTACAGAAAGCGTAATTTCGAGCTACCTGTTATTCAAACACACCTTAAATGAACACTTTTTTTGTACAGGCCCCAAAATATGTTCTCGTGGAACCCACACTTTGATATATCGTTTGATGACTTTCTTATTCGACTTGTTTGACTGATGACCAAGGGCAAGTAAAATCCGTAGGAAAAATACAATGTTGAATGTTTCCCAAAGTTACTTGACATTATTTCCTTTGTTATCAATTTCTCATATTCTCTTGAGTTTTTTCTTCCACTTCTACAAGAACTTGACAACCATCGCAACGTAGTATTCGACTGTTTATCGGTCAACACTGTACTCTGAACTTTATCAGAGCTATAAATTAACTTTGACTAACTATTCTACCTCCGGCAAGGTGTTTTTATTGTGTTTAAAAATAACACTGCGTTTGGCTTGGACTACTTTATTTTGTTGTTGTGGTAATCATTTGTACACATCGTGTGGTATTGTTATTATTTAGTTTTATAGTCCAGGAAATGGTTACCACAATGTCCACCAAACTCTATGTTGTTTTTAATAGTGTACATTTTATTTGAGAAGGAGTAAACATAATTTTTGTTGAGAATAGAATAGAAGTTTGCAATGTATCTGAAATACGATAGAACATTGTTTGTTCATAGTTTTGATCAATATTTAATAATCAAGTAGTTTATATAAGTTCTTTTACTGAGCGCTTCCTATTTTTGATTGAAATAAAACAAAGCCTTTTTGAGATATCATCGAAATTATTTATTCGTATGAAAGACCTATTGATGCCATTATGTGTGAAATACAGTGTATTTCTTTAATGTCCCCCCTTTAATTTTTTGAACGGGTCAACTCATGTCTGGAGTAATGTGGTGGTGCTCCATCTTGTTGGAATACAATATCCATATCGAATTCATTAGGATTTGCTTCGACGATTTCAGTGATGAATTTTTTCTGGATATTGGGTATGTGTTTCCCGGAAAACGTGAGGGTTGGTCTCACTCCAATAACGGCAATTTTGTCTGTGAACATGGCCGTTTAAAAAAATGTACATTCGTCACTAAAACAAATATTGTAGAGATAGGTAGGATGCCTTGCAATCAATGGTATCCGTCATGATTTCGCAGAATTCTGTTCTTCGATCAGGGTCATCTTCAGTTAATTGGTGTACCATTTTAATTTTGTATGGATGATACCTATTCCTCTTCAAAAGTCTCCACACAGTAGAAGGAGACACCTCACAAATATTCGCAACGGAATAAGTAGACTGTTCAGGATTTAGTACCATCTAACCAATTATTGGCACTTGCTGTTCTTCCGGAATGATGACCTGGGGGCTTTTTGTTATGTACACTACCGGTAGTTGTGAATTTGCATACAAGTTCCCTCAAATATTTTCTACAGATATAGGACGATTCGGAAAACGTTCATTGAACATCCTTTCGGTCTCGTGAAAGTTACGCATCGCACCGTAAATAAAAATCGCTTCAATTTTTTTTCCAATGGACGAGACTTTACCATTTTAGATATTGTTGACATGGTACCTTTCTACTAGTTAAAACGAAAACTAAATGAGAATATTCTAACTGAACAAGATGTTCATTGTCGTACTGACAATTTTTGAAGTTTTTATAAACAAAAAATAACTTAACAAACCTTTTCGGATTGTTGGAATTGCCATATGGCAGATAAAAAGGAATATTTATAGAAATATCGATATTAATGTGTATGTCTTCAGGAAATTATTAAATGTTCCGCCATTTTGTAGTAGGTGAAGACTTCATATTCTAGGGTTGTGAAGTATTCGTCAGGAGCTTCAAAATGATATGACACAAAACCCCCCTTTCCATTTAATTTTTTTTCCCAGATGGCGCTCAGTCGCCATCTTGAGAGTTTCATCTGTCACTTTCACTTGAAAATGAAGTATTCATGCATTAATTTCATTATTCCAAATTTCAATTTTTTAGTTGACCCTTTCGATAAATGAAAGGGGGGACATTTGAAGAAATGCACTGTATAACATCGTTCACATGTCCGCCACGGCTTCTCTGGTTGAAGCGCGTTCATGACTCTGGTGCCTAAATCAGACTAAATTTGACCGTTGGCATGGGTATGTTGGCTTTGAGGACAGCTGTGGTTTGTGGTTCATTCGACTTAAGGAAACCCGACAAAAAAAAGTTCAACGGAGTCAAATCGCACGATCTCGGTGGCCAGTTCACATCACCTCCACGTGAGGTGACCATAACCTCAAATCGCAGAATATCCAGAATATCCAGTGTGTCATGAGCTGTGTGGCACGTAGCGCCGTCTTGTTGATACCAAATGCTGTTGGTGTACAGATCATCCAATTCAGGTCAAAAATGTTGACCTGACCAACGAAGTTCTCAAAGAAATATGGACCGATGACGTCGCCAGCCCTAAATCCACAATAAACAGTGACTTTTTTGGGATGTGTTGGATGCTCTTGGATACACATTGTTGTCTATGGTCGGTTCCTGGGCGCAGACCCAAGTCACGACACAAAATTTGTCAAGTTGTGGTCTGCGAAAGTCCGAGTTCTTGTGAGCGACGGGAAATTGACTGCTTTGAATTCTCCTGCACACTTTCCTAGACACCAACGATGTTTTCTGTAGATCTTGCGTTTCGTCGACGTACGGGTGTTGTCGATCATTTAAGGAACCAGTGGACTCAAATTTATCCACCACATTGCGAATAGTCCTCTCGGTAGGACGATTATGGCAACCGTAAAATGGGCGAAGCGCGCGGTACGTTGCCCGAACAGAACACCCATTTTGATAAACCAATTTTATTAGTTACACGTGTTGTTGAATACTATATCCGTCCATGGTGATTTGGTAAACCATACTGAATAACTGAAAACTAATTTGACTGATGTAACTGCAACAAGATGTCAATGCCCCTGTCGAAAGACCCGATATTTTTGATTATCTCACAACTTACAAACAAGACTTTCAAATTCTTTGAATTATGAATTATGATTTTTAGAGTGATGTAAGGACTATAAATGAAGTTAGCAACATTGAATATGAATATGAATTACAGAAAATGTCTAATATTAGAGCAAGGTTCAAATAAATGAAAAATACATGTCCAACATGATATCAGCCGGGGTAGTAGTTACGGCTGGCATTTACCAGAACCTACTGTAAAGATACGTTGGTAGAGATTAATGTTTCGAGTAAGTATTTATTTTTTTGAATGTCAAGAAAAATACTGTATCCACTTTGATCAGTGGTGGACTAAATACTGAAAATATAAAAAATCGCAATCAATCTATTTTCAAAAATACACAGTAATTGTAATAATTCAGGAACTATGACAAACAAATGAAAAAAATCAATCTCGGTATTAATTTTCTCAACAGGCATGAATTTTGACAATTACCTCAATTTTATTTTCACAAGTATGTAGGGAAATTGACTTTTGATGGGTTACAATATCAAACAATAATTAGTATTAACATTATTGATATACAAATACAGTTAAAAAAACATGTGCGTCTCGGTACGCCTGACAGAAGTGATAACTAAAACTAATCTAAGTGGAACTAATCATTATTGAAATTGTTTAACTTGAGAAAAGCTCAGGTTATTACTTGAATTTTATGTATATTAATATGATAATGTTAGTTAAGGTTTTAGTTATCAAAATATGTTGTTGATTATTTTGTGTATGTACATATATTATAGCAACCATAAGCCAATTGTTACTTTTGTAGGATTAAATAATGACACTAATGAAAAATTACAAAATAAGTATCATCATTTTTAAGCCACGTTTTACATAATGAAAGAATGTTACGTGCTTGCTGGTTATATTTCTATAATACTGTCAACAGTACATGTCCAACGCACACTAAACACTGATTGTCTGTCCGACGAGAGAGGAAGAGCCTGCCTTCCGCTGACGTATGCGTGAGAGAAAGGGAAGCCAGACAAACTGGCGCCGTTACACGTTAGGTAACGAAGCGGTTTTCCCTCCCCAAAAATATTGAATCCGTTGTAATATTTGAATAGTTAACAGATAATAATCAAGAAAACGAACTAATTTTATAAAAAATCTTCATCGCCATTTGAAAATAACGGAACCGTTGAGAAATAGTAGATTATTATTAAAATATCCGTTTGGTTCGTATGGTATGTAGGGTATCGGGTCGATCAAAATAAAATTAAAACCGAATTGTTGCCAAAGATCCCGAAAGACAAACACCGAATGATGTCACCGTCTCTAAATGATTCTATTTGCATTTCAAATCATGTTGTAGGCAAGAATAGCTCATGGATGACGGATAACACGGTTTTCGGTCGTATATTGAAGATTGTTGAGACACAATAGACAATATGATTTACAGTAAATGCCACTTTTTCCAACGGTGCTAATTATGTGAAAACAAATCAAAACAAAAATGTATTTAATTATGGAAAACTGATCTACGAAGTTAGAAATGAAGCCGATATGTCTCTGAGCACGAGCACAGTATTATTTCTATAATATCATACCAATTTGAGATATATTTCTGTAGGGTGGTGTGGATTCCAGCCTAATATTTTATTCATTTTACAAAAATTATCGAGATTGAATCCGTAAATGACAAAAACCATTCTCTTCGAATTATACTATTTTTGAAATACTAACGATAGACAAAATTACAATCGCTAGAAACAATCGCGAGCAGTGAGATTAACCACAGGCATGTTTTTTATTGTTTGACTCCTGTAAATACCTAATACCCCGTTCTTAATCACAGATGTTCAATCAGTAAAACTATTTGCTATCCTTTTGGTTGTTTCAGAATGTTTATAATAATCAGATTTGTTCAGTATTACAACCCAATTTTCATAAGACACGATGAATTTCATGTAAAGGTTTCTTGCCAACTCGAAAAAATCAACTTGTTTATTCATTGCACTAAGTATGGCGATGGTTAAACAAATCACTGAAATAAGTTTAACCACTTTTTCAAGGCATGCGATAAACAGTACATACGCCATGTTTCGAATACATAATTACTACTGATAATCTCTATGTAAATGTCAAGTTATACTAACAATTTGTATAATGAGAACTTTTATATTCAAGTAAATATCTATTTACGCTTCCAGTCTTCTCTTCTGGCGACAAAGGGTTTGTTTGTTCTCATTATCTGAATGTGTCTAATGAAAATATTTTTATTTTTTAGATTACGTATATGATGAACTTGTCAAGTTGACAGTTGACACTTATTCTTATCATGTTCCATTCGGTTGTTGTTTACTTTTTTATTTCTTTTTGTACTTTTAGCTACAAAACCATTGATATGAAAAATTCTGGATTTAGTTTCA